TCTTTCAGAGCGATGCTGCAAGCTGATCTCTGCCTTGTTCTCTCCTTCTGCCGGCAACTGCACCAGTGGGTCAGACTGGTCCCAGGGCGATCCTGATCCTGATCCTGATCCTGGTTGGAGGTGGAGCCATCCTGGTGTTTGTAATCAAAGGACGACCCCCAATGGCCAGTTACTTCTGCAGGAAGAGAAGAAAAGGTAGAGAAGCTGAGCCCAGGGAGGGTAGAGAGCAAGGAGGCAGGCCTTGTTCTCTCCTCCTACCAGGCGCAGCAGTGGCTCGCGCCAGCACGCGGATTAGACCTGTCTTGGTGGCTTTGAGGACAGTACGAGCTTTCATAACTTTTAACTTCTGGAAGAAGAGGAGCGAAGGTAGCACTGGAAATTGCTTTTGGGCTGCATAACCACAACAGGAGGGGATGGGCGAGAGAGGGTGGGGGGTGGGCAGCGAGGTACCCTGGGGATGGGGGGAGCGGCCTTTCCTGGCATAGACCTGCCCCACCCCAGGGAAGGATTCACCTCCAGAGCTCCCAGCACTCAGCTCAGACTGGAGGTGTCTCCCAGATGATCCCTGGTTGATTCGTCCTGCGTGTCATGTGCTTGGCCCCCAGGCTGGGCCGTCTCCTACAATGTCTCAGAGGTGGAGGGGCCGGAGCGGTGCCTGCTGGGCCAGGAGGGGACCCTGCGCTGCTCCATGGAGGGGACATTTCCAGAGGATGCAGTCATGATGTGGGAGTGGATCCACAGCGAGGACAGAATGGCATTTGAGAGTGACATGGACCCAGAGAGCCCCGAGCACCAGCCGCTGTTACCTGCCCTCCCCCGGGACTGGAGAGTGACCGAGGAGAGAGCTGGGACCCGCCTCACGTCCTCCCTGACCTTCACCCCCACGCTGCAGGACGATAGGGCGCGGGTCCGGTGCAGCGTCCTCCATGATGTCGAATGTATCAGAGAGGAGCGAGTGTCCCCGGAGATCTGGGTGTGGGGTGAGTGCCCAACCCTGATGCTTCCACCTCCAGGTGTGACCAGGGCCTGATGCTGTCCC